TGCAGTCAATAAGACTAAACGGCATTTACTTAAGAAAGATAAAAAAGTAGCAGCCATCTCCTCGTTTATAACACTGTATAATTTTTTTATACGTTTATCTACGGATCGTTAAATTTAATTATTATTTTATACACACAAGCGTGTGTTTATATTATACGGCATAGTTAAAGTAAACTTACACTTGTTATTACCGACCTCTGGGCGCTTTTATATTATACTGTTATTAGGATTTCATATGCGCGTTTAAGGGAACTTTTAATTATCCGATATGATACCGGATTCCACCTTAGTGGCCAACGCAACGATAACACCGTAATGTATATTATACAGTTGTTCCGTGACCGGAGGTGGGGGGGGGAGGGTCGTTAAATTTTGGTTTTTATTACTTTGGTTTTTTTTATACGTTTTGCGTGCCGTACGGCTTACTCGGAGAGTGAGAGAGAGAGGGGCAGATAAAAGTAAGAAAGACATAATACACGAACAAAAAAAAAAAAAAAAGAAGTGTCGACCTAATGGGATTTTCTGGAAGACCGCATCGGCGTGGAAACGCTGTAACTTGTAACTATGTGAAACACAATGTGACTTGGGAAGCGTCGGCCGCACGCGTGACCCTAAAGGGTCTTTGGGATAAAAGTTCCGGCACGCGCACGTCGGATTCATGTGGGAATATAAAATTCGCGTGTGTCATAGTACGACACCCGCGTCAAATGACTAATTATTTCTTTCGTATACCGTTCTATGTATAAGCCTAAATAAAAAAAAAAAAAAAAAGGATAAAAAATCCACAGTCTCTCGACCGTGTAAAACGGTAATAATTAAAAAAATGCCAACGGTCGACGTGCAATTGTGGCGTGGTAAAAAATTCTTGAAAAAAAATAACTTTTATTAAGCAATTTTTAAAAAAATATACATTGTACGAAAAAGCAACGTGATTTTTGTAATATTTATTATCATAACCATTGGCGGAGATCAGAGGGGAGGGGGGTTAAATAATAAAAATTATGTAGCACTAATTTTAAAGTTGTTTAGCATCCAAAGTTCCTCCACCCTCTGATCACTGCCAATAATCATAACTAGTATGGTTAATTGACGATTATATACCTCTTTTTATTATCTTCTTCCTTTTTTTTTTTATAAAAAGTCAATGTCTCGAACAGAATTATTGGCAGAGCGCGCGTTAAATATCTCACAATAAACGGTATCCAAATAATAAATATTAATTTCCATACATTTTTCCGGAACATTAGTTTTCGTTTTAAAAACAAATATTTAAGAATTATTTACGGTCGGCCGAGTTAAAATTATTTTATCCCAAGCGAAATCGATGTTATAATACATATTTTTTTATTACACGACAAAAACACTCTCTGACGACGAACTTCAGCGTTTGTATACAGCAATTGAAAAATTTATTAAAATATATGTACAATAGAAAATTGTAGAGTTATATTCATGTTGTCATTTTCACGATATTTTTGTAATATACTTTATTGTATTTTTCTGCCAGCGATAGGTTTTCGTTTTATTAAACATAAAAAAATACATTAGAAAAAAAAATCGATCGGGAGGTCTAAATCTTAAGACTTGTATTGCGCTTGTAGAAACCGTGAGCTGTTTTCAACGTGAGCGGTGTGCATTTACTTAAAATTTTCTCCCATTCGATGATTACAGGGTTTGTGCACAACAACTCACGATTGTTACCTGATGCGGCTGTCGTTTAACGGGACTGACGAACCGGATGAGGGGGGGGGGTATCATTTTTAGTTCTTAATCCTCTTCGATCGAATAATGACTGGGTTTTTGAATCGGACGAAATTATATATTCTACACATTTAAAGTATTATAATAATTATTGACACAGAAACAGTATCGTAGGTTGGCGCTGCACAGTCATTATGATGACCACCGTGTAATTTCATCGTCTCCCAAACAATATATAAATATTATATTATGGACGTAGTTTTTTTTTACTTGTTGATATTATTTTACCCAGAAGTGTTGCGGCGCCGGCTGTTTAGGGTAGTGGGGGAGGTGATAGCCTAGTTATTAAGCGTCGCGCCCCAACAGCGACCCAGCACGTCGGTAATCGTTTATCTTTCGGTCGTATCTCTCGCACACATCGGGTGGCTCACACTATGATAATATGTATTTTTGTACCAGTAGGTGTGTGTATAGGTTCCAAATATTATATATTAGGAATAAAAACAAACGGAATAACATAATATTATCGTCGCCGATCGTGACTTAGGACGGTGCCCCGGGATATTCGAGACACAACCCTCCCGGGACGAATGGACCGATCGAGGCGGTAGGGAGGGTTGACGATAAACAGAAAGGTCTGTTGTGATTACAACAGCCGACTCGGTGTCGTCTGGGTTGCTGTTACAGCCTGCAGGCGGAAGGGGACCGACTCGGCGATGGCAGACTGACAAATGAAACAAAACACACTCGTTATACGAAATATAATAATATTGTTTTTTTTTTCACGGTATTCGTTGTGTCCGTATCGCATCTTCTAATAGTGTATACGTCACCAATCCATTTGCTCGTTACCAATACCTTACCTACTATAATAAAAATATATACAAAGCGTGTACTGCCGAAAACAAAAATCGTGTGATAAAAATCTCATATAAATAATAACAACAATACACATACACGGCACATAGGACTCGAAAAACCTTTAAAAAAAAAAAAAAAACAATTTCCTCGATAAAAATATGCGCGTACCCATGGTCAGGCCAATAAAATGTTATTGTATAAAAAACAATACTTGGAAGTCACGGGTCACTGCGAGGCTTTACGCTAATCAATGTCAAACAAGTGCCCCTCCTCCTAGTTATACACAAAAGTTATTATAATATTATGCTGATTTTCGTGTATACCGTCGCCTAATGAATTGACTGGCGAAGTAATAATATTATAATCAACTAAGTGGAAATTAATAGCGGTCAAATAATTATTTATATGCGACGCGACTTGTTTCATACACCGTTTTTAATTAATTAAACGAAAATATCTGTACTGTATAATATTAATACATACATACAGTTCAGGCGATAACGACCAAAACTGGTTGACCAGGTTTTCAAATTACGTTTTTTTTTATTAATTGTATGGCTTTTTTTTCTGGAATTCTCGTGGCAGTCGGTAATTAATAACAAAAGTACGTTTTACGTTATAACACAAAACAAATACAACGAAACAATATTTACTGTTTCATAATATTTATTTTGATTCTCATGCAAATTGGAGACAACATCGCATTTTCTTAATTATAATCATTTACACATTTTATTATTGTACGCCCCATAACAAAACTATTGCAGTGTTCGCATAGTAGTTATAATAATTGTGTAAAATATCAGCTATTTTGTTACTGACCTTGTATTATTTCAATTGTTAAAACACTCAATTTCAAGATAATTCGAATCGTTCATTATAAGATTGTTTTAAAGGTTTTAATCTATAATACAGTAGTATTTATAGACGTTGTTTTTTTTTATACCGGAAGACTTTTATTATTTAATTACAAATATTATCTCTGAATCCGTATGGAACTCGAGTAGGCACCCCGTGCCATGGATTTCGGATAAGAGAGTGTATATTTCAAAAAGACCAAAGCTATAACACAGAGTACACGTGTACGGCAAACAACTGGTGTGCGCACAAAGATACGAGACGATCAGCAATTTGTTTTCTTAATGGATACGAAGGCGCGTATATACGGTGAATTAAGCAGATTTCCAGGTCGTTTGAAAACACACGGGTCAGTTGAGATCGTTTACAGGGTCGCACGTTGTCGGAGGCCTTATTAGCGATGCAATTATGTCATTTTTACACACCCCAACGCGCAAATGCCGTCGCTTTGGTTGAAAATAAGGCGTAGGTACATTACTTAACAACGGCGACAAATCGGTGTAATGACCACCGCCAGGAGCAGATGTGCGCGGAATTATTTTTCTTTCAAAAAAAAATATACAATAACAGAATCCGTGAGTAATAAATCTGCGTGACAAATATGTTTATAATTCGCGGGCGGCTATGGATGGATGTATATCGATAACACTGATGTATACTACCGACGGCGATGATGATAACAATAATAGGTATCTACAAAGCAACGGATACCGTTTGCACGGCAGCGGGGACAGCACCACAAACCGTGACTAATAATATTCCGGTCGGGACGGAGGGTGTAACGAGACCGACATCGCATAATATGTTTGAATGGAAGAGGTGTCAAAGAAAAAAAAAAAATAAAGCCTCGTGTATACGAATCAAATCCCTTTGGAATTCTTCTGTGTGTGTTTGTATACGAGAATATTGTATACAGCCGGCAACACCTGGTCGCGAGGAAAGAAGAAGTAGCCGTGTGTGCCGGATTAACCGTATATATGTGTACGTGTAAAGGTACGCCGCCGTCACTACCCCCCCAAGACGGGTTGTTTGGTTTTTGTTTGGATACATACCAATTGCCACCCGAGCATAATGTGTTTAGTGGGCGTATAATAATAAAAATAGTAATCGTAAAAAAAAAAAAAAAGGTGGTGGTGCGTAAAAGGCCAATTTCCAAGGGTATTTATATAGGTGACGGTTATGAGAAAAACCAGGTGTGAATGTCTCCAAAATGCCATTCACGTTTCCCGGGATTGCCCGCGAGCTGTGTTACCGTGCGCGTTATACCGTGTATCGATTTGTAAAGAAATTCCGGTCAAACGTTATAAGGCGGCCACCGTGTTTTGAAAGTATATTAGGCATGTGTGGAAACTATTAGTGCGAAACCGAAGCGGTGCCGGGGTTGTAACAGCCCGCGGAAACGACGTCGAATATGGCCCCGGGACTAAGATTCAGCGAAATGTTAAATCCCACCCTTTTGCGCCGTATTTTTTTTTATTATTATTACCGTACACGCGCGGGGAAAATGCTGATAGACTATACGTTTTTGAACCGGATAACGGACTAAAGCTGTTATGCATATAAAAGCGTTGTGTACTCACTTTCCAGCAATCTGGTCTGTTTTCGCAATCCGTGGATTCCATTTCACTCGGCACGAGCTGTAACAAAAAAAAAAAAAAACACACATTAATAATGGATGATACACGGCACATATTTATTATTATACATAGACGATGACTAACGCGTTCCACACGGCATTGGCCGTGTACGAGAGCCCTCCGCGAGAGGCTGCACGCTCTAACCCTAGGGAATCGCGCTGTCGTCACGCTTATAAAATCGCGCCGAAGGGCACAGAGCCGCGTACGTGCACCGTCAGCGTTTCGCCAATAATAATATAGTCTACGGTGAATCAAAACGGGATCATTGGCTTTTAATCCGGCACAGGTCCCTGGAAACCGACAGAGGGAGGGAGGGAGAGAGAGAGCGGCCCGAGGCGGAAATCCAGTTACCTTCGAGGGCTCATAAACTTATCGTTCGACGGATTCTCCACGCCGTTCGACTCGAAGGTCTAAAGCCGCTTCCGGGCAAATAATAAACGTTAAGTGCGTTTTACAACGGAATGAGTTAATTCGCGCGAGAAGGTTTTTTTCTTTTAATAACTGTAAAGGCGTCTGTCGATATAAGTAATACTGCAATAACAAAACGTTATGAATAAGCCGGATGAGCATGCGAGTACCATCAAACGATATTATTACTGTATGCAAAACTTTAGGGAGCGACCATTTATTGAGAGAATAGGAGAGGGATCAACAGAGGAAATAACAATAATAATAATAATGCCCCTTTGTGTGTCCTTGTCGGCGCTGCTGTTGTATTGTTATGTTATTATCATTGTTATCACGTGCACCCAACGTTTGCCGGTCAAACTAATTTCGGCGATATTCAAATTGTCGGACACGAGATGCAAAGCTGATATTTTAACACAATATTTATTGCCAAGCGAACCGAAACTTCCAATGGGTCGCGTCTGATGTGTGCGCCGTGTAGAGGCTAAAATATGTTTTTGCGCTAAAGCCTATTTGAGGACTTATACCACGTCGGATATGGCTTTGGAATTGTTTAACATCGTCGGCCGTACTCTATACATAGATAGAGAAAACAATAGGGTCGTCTCCTCTCTCATAGTGACGTTCGAACAACGGTACTTAAATGTACGTTCACGCTCACCGATTTGTTCACCAATGGACAGATAACTAACGTTGACGCCAAAACAAATGTGTTATCCTTTATAAATCTGTGGCCAACGTCAACACGCCGCAGAAACTCAACTCGAACGTTGCTTTCGGATGGGTAAAATCATGTCTTAAATATACTAAATGCAGCTTTTACCCCTCTCTATCGAAATTTTCGACGATACAAATAAAATGGCAGCGTATGGGTCAGCATTTATTTATTTTTATAAAGGTCTTTATATCAGAATTGATGATATAATAAAGCGGGGATATGCAATAACCTAGTATATATTTTAGCCATGGTTAAAATTAACGATTACCGTTGTAAAGCAAACAACAAAACCATGGCTTTTCGCTTGCGGTCCAAGGCGGGCGCGACGGAGAGCTTCAATTTGAAACTCGCGCCGGATGCAATATATTATAATTGTTATTTATAAAGTTTTATTCGTTGGTCCCGGCTGATTTGAATACATTAAAGCGCGCGTTGGGGATCGCCGCCGTGGCAATTCGATCCGTCAACTGCGGAAGTGGCGTTCAAAAGAGGCTAATTAGCGCGTTGCTATCTATATAGTATACGTGTATACATGACGTACATTTTTTGTTCCTCCCGGAGTCGTTTGTAATTGGAAAATAAATCAAAGAGACATCGGACATCGGAAACCGCACCGGGGCAATAAAAATGCTAAACCCTCCCCCCCCCCCGAAAAGTCGCGTCCCCCGGGAAATTCGCACGGTGATTTCCCGCCCGTGATTTACACATAAAACAAAATCATGTTTTTCTCCTCGGACAAACTCTATTGTAATCGCGCATAATTTAATTTCGTACCACTTATCATATGTACATATATCTGCGAAAAAGAATATAGGTGCTCTTGCATTCTTTATATTACACATAATTTGTATACATAATAAATACATACAAATGCATATACGTCGCGTATTCAACTCTTTTAGGTTTTACGACCCGACTAGTCCAGTCAGTATCGTTGTATGCATGCTTATGATTTAATTTATGTCACTTTTAACGCGAGTTGTCTGTACACAATCACAATATGCATACTACATTTTAAATGTTCATTTTTAACTTGAAATCGTTGTTGTCGTTTGACTATCGAGTTGAGACGTTTATTGTGACAATTTATTTATTATTTTAATTAAAACTGTATTTATAAATGAGATACAACATAATATAGCCGTCCGCTTATGCGAGGTCTCAAAGCAACTAGCAAAAAGAGACCAAATCTTGATTCCGCCGTAACCTACCCCGTCCATTAGACCACAGAGTGTTCCCTTCACAATTTTTTTTTTCGTTTGTTGTTAAGCCGTTAAACACGTATGTGTTGCTCGATGTTCGAGAGCGGAAAAGCAAGTACTCGAGAAAGTATATTATTAGAAACGGTATTGTTGTACGCACTTGTACAGCAACAAAACGGGCGCACGAGACTATCTGGATGACCTCAACCGTTAGGGCTTAACGATGACTCCACTCTCGACTTTGTGTGAGGTGTAGCGGGCGAGGAGGCGACGGTGGAAATGACTCTTAATAAAGGGACGCGGCCAAATTAACTGTGTATCACGGATTCGTTAATGTTTATGTTTTTCGGGCCGCGACCGGAGTAGGGAGAGAACGAAAACTTTGATAATAACATTCCAAAGGCCATTATAAAAGTTGCTGGATCGCCGGAAGAGCTTTGTGTTGCTCGCTCAGATTACGCTCGTCGCTACAGCGCTGCGTCTGCCATTATTATGTTTTTAATCTTCGCCCTAAAAAGGACACACCTGCAATGTTCAACGGCCGAGAAGTCTGAGCCGAGGAGCTTTGATATTCTTTTTACATATCATAATAACAGCTTACACACATCAATACAATACAGCACACATCGGGTTGCTCGACTAATCGTTTGTATATATATATATTTTTTTTTCAGAATCTTATTTGTCAAAAAACATTTTGTGTAAAACTGATGTATAGTTGGGGAACGTTACGAGGAGAAGCGACAAGCAGGAAATATTGTTCACAGAGAAAAATACACGCCGAACTCAAATGATAGATGACGAACGTTTGAATAAAATTGCAAAACATTCGGCCCAATATACATACTTCGCTTGTTTGTTGCTTTTTGCTTGTATAGTTTAAAAAAAAAAAAACAGGATGGTTTTGGAAAAGTTTTTAAAAATGAGATATTCTCTTTTTGTGTCAGACGCCACCGAACACATTTTTTATCCGAACGGAATTATTTACGGCGAACCGACCTCATAAAAGTTTTGCGATTAAAGTTCTAGAAAAAAAAACAATGTTTATTACATAGCACTTAATCTAATCTAAGTCGAAGAAGTATACATTAAATAGATGACGTGTATTCACAAACGTCGAGATAACAATTAAAAACAAAAAAAATGTATTGTTCTCTTTTGAAACAACAGTGTTTCAATTCCTGGAAACATTACGGTAAAAAGTTTTGTTTTAAAATTTTCAAATTAGACAACGTTCGCTGTATATTGACTGTTTTTTTTCTTTTTTTGGTAAAATCGTGTACACTATTTTTTTTATGACGAGTAAAAAAACGGTATACACGGCGAACCGTGGCGATAAAACCGCACCGCACCGCTGGCCATGTGTTACGGTTAAATTAGATTTGCAACCCGGCGCATCTCCGTTAATAATTTAGCAAAACCACGGTTTTCGAAAATCTAATAACATTATGTTATGTATTGTATATATATTAGATGATTTATAATAATAGTGTTGTGGCATTGTGCGAGCAGTCGATTCAGATGTAATATGTACTACAATATAATATTATTACAATTACAGTTACGATACCGCGATATTCCCTTTGGAGACAACAGCTGCGCGAATTGTAGTTTACCAATTTTGTCTTCAGCGACAAACACATACAATTTTTGGAAAAACATGGGGGCAGTATAATTATGAATATTTGTACTTGGCAATAGCAATATTATTACTAGGTAGTACAATTGTGGTGAATTCAAAAACGGGATTGCCGTTTTTGGGGGATTTTGTGTTTATTGTTTTCTGCGAACATTTTTAATACCGATATATTATACAACCGCTAGTGTTTTTTTTTTTTTATTGCCGACCATATGACACTATTGCCGCCGTTTCGTCAAAAGAAATACACACTGAACCGAGTGCGTAAATCGGTCCCCGGGGGTGACTACAGGAGAGAAAACGATGGGTATATCGATATGGGCTGATCAATGCCGGTTTTCCCATGCCAATATTGCACACCCGCATCATGAATGTACGCGTATACACATTTAGAATATAAATATTACCCATCGAAGGGATGATGTAAGTATAGCGTAGTGTGTAAATGGCAAATGTCAAATATTTTCGCTTTGTCCGTAGCAAAAAGTAATAGGGTTGTGTTTGCCTGGCGGCATAAAAATTGTCAGTTTTTTCGCCTAACCCGACGTCAGTCACACCGCCGCTGGCCAAACGTCCCAACGAGTCCCCGTCGTCTTTGGCCTCCACCGCGGGCGGTAAATGATCGAATTAAACACACAAGACGACATCAGCCATTTCCCAATCAATCGACCGAGCGGATATAATAATATATTATACCAAGGCTCGCCGTGCCGGGTCCTTTTGTGTGGACCGAGACCACACCGTTGCATTGTGTGTGTGCACACACACTGTGTTTATTATTGCTAAATGCTGACCATCTGCTTTGGGGTGAGTGATTTGCCGGTTTTTGCGATTCCGTACATCAAAAACCCGCGCAATAATAGTAATAATAATATCATAATAAGCGGGGCGGCTGCGGTAATGGCGATGTTATTCGCACAACAACGCTAACAAGGGATCATGGAATTTGTATTCGACACGGCATTATTTATAATAACCTCGGGTAAATCTTTTTCTTTATTCCGCTTTACGACGGCAAAACGCTTCCCGGAAA